GGCTCAAGTCGGGATCGAAACCGAGATTTTACCCCTGAGCTGTTATAGAGGAAGGCGAATTTTTACGTACCTATTCTTCGAATAAACATGTCTATGGCCGAGAGCATTGCAGTATTAGCAGTAGTAGTCATTGTTTACAAATTCGCACTTTACACACATAAGTGTGTGTGTGTAAAAAATCAGATATAGCTAAAAATACACCTGCAAAATGGCGATAGCAAAACTTACCTTAACCGACTAGTTTCGTTCTCTGGTGGACAAAGCAAATATAAGGACTTTATTTTGCAAGAAATATTTTTAAACAGAAGTAAAAATGCCGTTAGTTTCTCAGAATTTTTAAATTTCAGAACGCTCATATATATACTTCAGTCTAACTGAGAGTTAAAGTAAATTATGGAGGATGCTAAGTGACATAATTTAAGCTCTAATAAACAAAAGTGAGTACCTGCTGTCATTGTTGTTGTTGATTTTTGTATAATATAATTATGTATAGTCTTAGAAATTTAGACACGTATTTTAATTAATAGTTTAACAGTTTTCTCGTAATTTAAAAAATGTTTATAGTCATGTATGTTGCCTTGGAAAATGAGTATATCTTTCAGAAAAGGAGATATTTATAAAAATATATCCTGGACGCAGATTAATATTCTGGTAAGATTCGATAACAACACTTTCAAGAATTTTCTGTCTAAGTTACTTTCTCTTTTAATAAGAGTGGCATGCTTGAGATCGAAGTTGTGATAAAACTTCTATATATGACAAATACATTTCATCAAAAGCATTTGTCATAATGCAACAAAATACCAAAACAATAGCAACATTTACTCATTTTCATTTATTAGACCTTAAATTACATCACTTAGCATCCTCCATAGTTTACATTGACTTTCAGTTAGTCTTAAGTATATTTATGAACGTTCTTAAATTGAAAAATTCTGAAAAACTAAAGACATCTTTGCTTTTGTTAATAAATCATTGTTGTAAAATAAAATCCTTACATGTGCCTTGATAAAGTTCATTCTGAGGACGTAACGCATTGACAAAGAAAAGTTTTCGTTTTACAAAAATAAAAAAGATTGTGTGCGAGAGAGAGAGAGAGAGAGAGAGAGAGAGAGAAAGAGAGAGAGAGAGATAAGAGAGATAGAGAGAGAGAGGTAGATAAACAAAGAAAGAGTGAAAAAAGATACAGAAAGGGAGGAAGATACGGGAAATAGAGATAAGGAAAATGAAAACAGAAAAAAAGAGTAAAAAAGAGAGGGAGAAAAGCAGTGAAAGAGAGTCTGAGAAGATAGCAAGAAAGAGTTTCTTACTTGCTTACTCTTCTTTTCGAGAGAAAATTTTTTTTTAAATGTACCGTATATATTTCTAAAGAATTAATGGATTTGTTTTTAATCCGAGATTATTACTTCAAACGATATTTAGTGGTGCTTCTTATTTGAAATAAACGCTCTATTTTTATTTATTTCAGTGGCTTTTAAAAATGATGAATAATGCTTTCTTTAAATATGGTAAAAGAACCTTGCTTACTATGAAGTACTTCCTGATAAAGCATGTCGGATCAAATGTTAGTTTCTTCCATAAAGAGGGACGAAGGTTCGATCTAAGCCGGAGGACACATTTTCTTTACTGAGATTTGAATGTAATACACACAGATTAATAAATAAAAATGGGGCGTCTATTTTAAATGAGAAGTGTCCACTATAATAACATTTCAAATAATATAATAGTCAAGAAAGAGTATTCCCGTTTTCTTCTTATAATACGTAAATATAACATATATATTTATATGTATGTATGTATATATATATATATGTGTGTGTGTGTGCATAAAGGTAAATGACAATAGTAAAACTGTATTATTAGCCGACGCGTCTAATGTGAACTTTTTCAAGGCAAAAACGAAATGAATTTATTGAAAACAATGTAACTATTAACAACAAACAAAATGTCTTAGCAACTAGAAGAATTTAGAAAACGCTATTGTATTCATATTGCAAACTGAAAATTACGTCAATATGAATAATATATGAATACAATAGCAGTTTCTAAATTCTTCTAGTTGCTAAGGATATTTTACTTGTTGTTAATAGTTTGTTTTTCGTCGGCTAATAATACAGTTTTCCTATTGTCTTTTACCTTTATACATATTGTCTTTTTTTCTACAGCTTAACTCTGAGAAATTTTTTCATATATATATATATATATATATATATATATATATATATATATATATAATATACTTAATTAATTAGAAATATATATATATATATATATATATATATAATTAATTAATTAATTAGAAATATATATACATTAATTAATTTGAAATATATATATATATATATATATATATATATATATATATATATATATATTAATTAGAAATAAGAAAGAAAGTCCCACCTCGATTTTTTATTTCTCGTCTCGTTGAAAACGGAAACAGGTGTATCCGAAAATTCCAGTTTTTCAAATCTGTCTCATCATGATTCCATTTGATCAAAAGGCCTACAAATATACAATAAATATTATTAGTTTTATTATAAATATTATTATTTTTGTTGTTTTTTATCTCTCGAATTTCTTTCATAGGTCTATTGTATCTCCACACACACACACAAAGAAGTAGAGAAAAAAGAAATTACGTATATGAGAGAGAGTGAGAATCCTAAAGAAAGATACAGAAAAAGAAATGATGAGAAATAAAGAGATGATGAAAGAAAAAAAGAAAAAACATATATATATATATAGATAGATAGATAGAGAGAGAGAGAGAGAGAGAGAGAGAGAGAGAGAGAGCAAGGATAAGAGAGTTTTAGAAGCAAGCAAGAAATAATTTATTTTTGTCTTTCTCTTTTCCTTCTTTTAGAGAGAAAAGATTGGTCTTAGATGAACCGTATGCAAATTTAAAGAGACATAGACTCCTGATTGTCTACTGCAATATATTTATTCCAGCCTTTTTAAAAAAAAATAACAAGCGAGTAGTCCAAATGTATCTTTCATTGCGCAGTTCATTTTACCCTCAACTACTCCATCAATCACAGCTGAGTAAATAGCGAAAAGAAACACGAGAAAAGTATTAGAATAATACAGAACTTATATTAGGAGCCGACCACCTGAGTATGGATAGAAAATGAATTCAGTAAATATACAAAAATGGAAATAGCACCAAGACAAGGATATGTTCTCTCACCAGACTTATTCAACATTTATAGTGAAGCAATCTTGTGAGAATTAGAAGTCCTACCAGGGTTCATTATTGGCGGTCACAATCTTAACAACACATGATATACGCATAACGCAGTACTGATCGCAGAACACAGAAATAAAAACAGGACTTTCTACAAAAGATAGTACATCCTTGTGAAATTTAATTGAACTAAAACGAATAATTCCATTATTATTTAATTTTTTATTGTATTTTTCCGGTGAAAAATGACCCAGTGCACATGTTAGTACTTCGTATGCCCATTCCACGAAGTCGTCCCTCGCAGATTGACCACAGATTCTCGATTGAAATTAAATCAACAGAGTTTCCGAACCAGGCTATCGTACTTTGATTTGCTCACTCGTAAGGTTTTCTAGTATGTTCGTGCAGAGTTACAATTTTCTTACGCTATTTTGGAGTTATGTCCATCACAGACAATGGCTGTAGGACAACTAATCGAAAGTCAAGACAATAGTGTCTGTACGTGATATAAATCTGATGCAATCTCTTTCAAGGCCAAACAAATTTCGTCATGCACCCTGAAAATAGATTCATATTACTGCACACCACTGCAAATGACCTAATCTGAGGAAAAATAGAAATCGATTGCACCAGTGGGTCTAAAACTAACCGCGTGGTGAAAGAAAAGAAGCTAAAGCGGTTGTTTCAATTAATTTGCACACGTTGTGTAAAAGAAATCAAGAAGAAAGGATTAAATATCAATTGTAAGAAGACAGCCACAGATACGAACTACGAAATCGAGACCCCAGAATCAAACAAGTACGAAAATTTAAATATCTTGGAAATGTTTTAAGAGAGAACGGAAAATATAACACCGAAATCCGAAGGCGCGTAGGGATAGCAAAAAAAAAAAGCCTCCTAAATGCTAAGCAGAGTATTAAGAAACAGAAAAACTTCCTTAGAGTCAAAGGAGACAGTAGTTATGTAATATTACTTTTATATGGCGGTGAGGGCTGGACAATCTCCTCACAGATGAAAAAAGGCATAAAGCAGCAGAAATGTGGTCTCTACAGAAGGATGATGAGAATATCATGGATTAAACATGTGAGCAATGACAAAGCTTTAGAGAAAATGGGAACAAAAAAGACACTTATAGTGAGCATAAGAAAGAGTTGAAATCTCTAGGGTACGTAATGAGAAATGAGGAAATTTGACACGCACAGGGCATATTGAAGTCAGGATAGACAGAGAAAACTACCACATAACCTATCTAACGAGCTCACGCAAAAAGAGAAAATAAAAACATAAAGCACACATATTTAATATCAGGATGAGACAGTTGAAATATCTAGGGAATATGAGGGCTTGGAGAATTTTATAATCACAGGACAGATTAAAGCCAACTGGGACAGAGGAAAACCAAGTATAATATTTAGTGAGCTTGCGTAAATGGATGGCAGAGCAAGGATTAGAAGAGATAACAAAAAGACAAAATTTATTAAGAGTTACAAAGGACAGGAAAACATCGGGTTTGTTATATTCATTTACGCGCAAATACTCTTGAGAACGTCCAACTAACACGCGGACAGTCTACTCCTGTGATTGTTCACAAAGATTAAATCCCCAAAAGTTAATTAATAATACTTATTCAAGTGGAGAGATGTACTGAGTAACCACAAACCTCTCCCTAAGCCCATTCCCTTAACCACTCAGAATTGCAATAAAATTTCGCTGCGAATCAGTCGTCTTCCCCATGTTTTCAATTTAAATGTCAAGATCCTTATAGTTATATAAATATTTTCATCTGATATTACCATATCTATGAAGGCTTATAGCCGTATCACGTTGAAACACCGGTTCCCGTACCATCACCGATGTTAAGCAACGTCGAGCCTGGTCAGTACCTATCTGGGTGACCGTTTGGGAATACCAGATGCTGTAAGCTTGGATAAGCGTAGGGTGTAATGTATAACGCCTCGGAATTGGAAATTAGAGAGCCGACTTTCAATTCTTACCGGGTTCGTTATATTCATTTACGCGCAAAGAACCTCTTCTTCCCCCAGATATGGGTTAATTAATAGAACTTTCATTCATAGATCATTATTATTTCTAGGAAAGCTATTACAATGCAAAAAATATATATTCCTGGCTTCAAATAACCTGCCAAAACTTGATGCATAGCGAGGTGTAATTTATAATGGCTCGGGATTGAAGAGCCAAGTTCCAATTCCACGTCATGTTCTGTATGCTCATTTACATGCAAATACTCTTGGGAAATGTGTGAATATACCTCTTCCCCCCATGGATTAATTAATATGACTTGTAACAATAAGTTACCTCCATATTATCACAATGTAAAAAATAATATTTCTGACTTTTAAATAACCTGCATAAGGTTGATAATCCGTTTAACACAAATCAATCAGTCAATCAATGAAAAACTGTTCTGAAGAGAAGGGTTTTATAAATTTCATTTGACAGTAATGCTAACTGTTCAGTCAATGAACACCGAATGTTTCCTTATAAGGAAACGGCTAATTTTACCTTTACCATTCTCCTTGAGTTCGCCATAATTAAACAAGTGCGTGTTTCTTTTGCGACAGAGCGGCACGAATTCTAAATGACATTAAATGCGTACTTTTGACGAGTTGTAATATTTAAACATGTTGCTTTGTCAGAGTTTTCGTAATATTCCCAGAAAAGCTGTATTCATTTGAGATTGTATAACGTTTCGTTAAGAACGAACATTTTTCTATGTTAGAAAGGAAGATACGTCTTTCTTACCGGATTTCCTCTACTAAGAACCATTTCAAAGGCTTATTCGCTACGAGCCAATTTGGAACAAATATGAAAACAAATCTAAGTACCAACACAGTAGGCATTTCTCTGAAGTCCATTTTAATTTTATAGTTTCACTATATTTAATAAATATTTTTAAAAAATGCGAAGAAAAACACAGAGCAAAATTTACAGGCGAATAGGTTCTTTTAGAAAAGATCTTTATTTCTTCTGAAAAGATAACATTGTCTGTTGGTTATTATGAATATACGCACTATTGTCCTTACCGTTGTTGTTTTTATCAGCGGGTTTCGGCTTTCATCAGGTGTATATCGATCTGGATAACCTACAGGGAATTCCTGGTATGACGATAAGCTACATCCGGCAGCTAGGTCTCTGATCGGGATTTTAATTGCTGTGGTTCCCTGTTCCCCACAGATTGTGAATATACGCTTATTAACACGGTTTATTTTTACATGTGCTTTTGAAAGTAATGATCGTAATCGCTACTGAATTGAATTTGATCCTCACTGGGTGCCCTAATGAACCAAATAATCTTTAATAAATATTTATTAATCAAAACCGATTTACTGTGTAACACGATTTTTGTCCTTGGGTAGTAGCTATTTGCTTACGCCTAGAAAGTATGAAAAAATGCCCACTATTTTCTTTGCTTTTTTGACCAGGATAAGTATATTTCTAAAATTTACCTATCCCCAGTGGGAAAACTGGCGAATGTGAACATTCTCGTTCACGCAAAATTAGAAGCAAAACGACATATTATTCAAACGTAGCATTTATTTATTCTCGGATTACGCAGGAGAGGCCACAAAAAATTTAAAAGACAATGATGACTTATCTGCCCTTGGACAACTAAAGGTAAACTGATCAGTTGAGATTAAGTTCCCTTAAGTTTCCCCTGAACCCGTTTATGCGGGTTCAAAGAGGGATTATTTTTGGCCGAGCCTACGGGCTTGGAGATCCCACGTTAAACCGGCTTTGTGTCACATGTAACCCTCGTGCGGGGGGGGGGGTAACTAAATATCGCTGTCTACAGTTGACCTGTTCCAGCTAAACAGTCGAATTTCGGAGAGGAATCCGGACGAGGCTTCGCCCAAGGTCAGAGTCTCGTTCGGGGAGGTTGACTGCCCCTGAATCCGTTTATGCGGGTTCAAACAGAAAAATTTACCGCCTAGTCCATGTTACCGTTGTGGAGCACTTCATTGGTTTAAAGATTGTCAATATCGGACGTCAAAAATATAAGAAAGTATGTGCAGGTAGAAATACTGAATAAAAAAGTCAGGTTACAATTAGACTCCGGGTCTGATTTATCAATAATCAACCTACATATTTGGAAAAGGTTAAATAAACCAAGCATGCTAAAAACCGGCAAAATAGCTAGGTCGGTGACTGGTAAAAAAATTAAGTTTGAGGGTGAAATTATCGCGAACGTTACTTGGAACGGAACAACCAAAAAATTAAAAATGTTCGTGTTAAAAAACACAGACAATCTATTTGGCACAGATTGGATGCAGCAGTTCAATCTGTGGGATTTGCCAATTAATACTTTTTGTCAGAAAATAGAAAATCTGACGACCGAGTCAGATAAACTAAGAAATGAATTAAAAGAAACCTTCCACGAGGTCTTTTCGGCTGGCCTTGGTAGATGCAAAAAGATGTCAGGAAAATTTGAGCTGAAAGAGAACACTCAATAAATATTTAAGAAAAAAAAAGGAATGTGCCTTTCGCCTCGTTAGAAGAAATAGACAAGGAATTAGACAGACTTATAGAGACTGGCATTTTATCCAAAGTGGAATATAGCCAATGGGCAGCACCAGTGGTGTATGTAAAGAAGAAGTCTAAGGAAATCCGCGTGTGCGTAGATTTTTCTACTGGACTAAACGCAGCACTATAAGATTATCACTGCCCACTTCCAAGCCCGGAAGAAGTTTTTACAAAACTTAATGGAGGCAAGTTCTTTTCGAAAATCGATCTCAGCGAAGCTTATCTCCAGATAGCCGTTGAGGAAGAAAGCTCAAAATTACTATGTATAAATACACATAGAGGCTTATACAAATTTGAAAGGCTTGCATTTGGAGTCAAAGTCACACCAGCCATTTTTCAGCAGGTTATGGACACTATGCTGGGTGTACTTGACTTTTCAATGGCTTACCTAGACGACATCTTGATAAACAGTAAAAGCTTGGAACAACACCGGGAACACATCCACAACGTATTTTCACGAATACAAGAGTATGGCTTCAAAATAAAGGAAGGCAAATGTGACTTCTTCATGAAAGAAATCAAATATTTGGATCACATCATAGACAAAGACGGTAGGAGACCGAACCCAGAAAGCACCACTGCAATTAAGTACATGTCGGCTCCTGAAAACGTCACAGCACTACAGAGCTTTTGGGGGTTAGCGAATTACTACCAAGTGTTTATCCCAAATATGCATAACCTCCATGCCCCGCTGAACAAGATTTTAAGAAAAGATAAGGTTTGGGAATGGACACCCGAATGCCAGGAGACATTCGAGAAAACTATCAAAGTCCTAACATCGGATTTATTCTTTACGCACTACGACCCGAACCTCGAGATCATAGTTGCTAGTGACGCAAGCTCGCATGGAATAGGAGCGTACATCCTCCATAAAATGCCAGATGGAACGCAAAAGCTCATCGCTCATGCATCAAGGGCCCTGCTCCCAGCGGAAAAGAATTATTCCCAAATAGAAAAAGAAGCATTAGCAATCATATTCGCAATCACAAAATTTCACCGTTACATACACGGAAGATTTTCACAATACAAACGGACCATAAACCGCTACTCAGTATTTTCGGGTCAAAAAAAGGATTACCCGGTTATACGGCAAACAGACTGCTGAGGTGGGAGACAATTCTCCTAAATTACAACTTCAAGTTGGAATACCTCCCCTTGAAAAAAATCTGTCACGCTGACGGACTTTCTAGACTGGTTCCAAGACATAGGGAAACCTTAGAAGATTCTGTGATCGCTTCGCTACGAACGGAGGGGGGAATAAAAACTTTATTGTGTAGCACTATAAGAGAACTTCATGTTACGCTACAAGAAATAAAACATGAAGCCCGCAATGATGAATTCATTAGCGCAACAAAAACAAAAATTTCAGAGAATGACCAACACATTTCAGACAGTTTTTCCCTATGTGACGATGTACTCCTACACAGCGAGAGAGTCGTCATTCCAAAAAACCTATAGAAGAGAATCCTGAAGGATTTTCACATTGGGCATCCAGGGAAAAATAGGATGAAAAGTCTAATGCGCAGCTACGTATACTGGCCTAAAATGGACCAGGACATCGAAAATATGGTCAACACATGCAAGGGCTGTGCATTGGCGGGAAAAGGACCCACGTGGACTTTGCGGGACCCCTAGAGGGATTCTACTATCTAATTGTAGTAGATAGCTATTCAAAATGTCCGGAAGTGTTCCGATGTAATAATCCCACTACGGAGGCAACAATAAGCTACCTTCACGAATTATTCGCTCGTTTTGGGGTAGTAGATTGCTTAGTCAATGACAACGGAACTCAATTTACTTCGACCGACTTTAAAGAGTTCTGCGAAATTTTTCATGAGATCTTCCTCAGGTAGCATAATTTGTTATTTTATCAATATTTAGACAATATTGATTTTTATGGATTTAGAAGTTAGATTCATGTTCATAATATAAACACAATTATAAAACAATCCCTAATTTTTTACAGAATTATTGTTATATACAAATGCCAAATTTTGAAATTTGAAATATCATTGATAACTATATATTTAGTTTTCTGAATGTTTTAAAGTTTTTCTACACAAACAAACAAGCACAAACATTGGAGGATAATAATCATCTTAAATTAAGTTATATGTTATATGCTGTTATAAATTCATGTAAATTTTTGTTCTTCAAATAGAAATGTACATATCCGTTTGTTTTATTTAAAACAAATCTTTTCTTAAAATATTCTCGGCTTTCGTACACTAGTAAACCAAGGATCGATATGATGAACAAGACCCCAATTCTTAAATGATAAAAAATCAATATTTATTGATTCTGACAAATGTCGTGGCTTCGGACAGGTCTCATGTATGTTAATCTATAAATATTATACCCCAGAAAATTCTATTTAAGT